GCCGATGACGATATACTTAATAAATAATTATACTTAAATAAGTAATTGTTTTTGGTTATCTTATCAGTAATATGGCAATAATACGTTTAGCCCTATGTCCAGCTTGAGTCTGGTTAATGACGTACGCATAGTAATTTCGACAATCGACCTGTTGTGTAAAGGTGATAAATGTATGCAAGTCAAGAGTATTGTTGCTTCTTCTCAATAAGTATTTCAGTAAATTTTATAAACCACATACAAAACGATAGCACAGTTAAGTTGAAGGCTATACACAAATTTATTGTTTTAAAAATTTCATATTTCGTGAAAAGGTTTGTCTTCGATCCCATGTTTTTGGAATCAGATTCTCACTGACGCCATGGATTTCATAACTAAAAGTCCACTAATAGCCACATTATGCCTTATAAACAGACTTAGTTATAGGCCAACTACAATCAGATTTCGTTTTTATTAAAGTTGTCTAGTACCGTATCATAATGTGGTTCAAAAATAATACACTTCTGTACAAGGAAGTAAAGTAAATTAACTTAATTAATCCTCCTAATTATATTACTAGCACTTTTGGGCGGGGCCCATGATGTGCACCCGCGGCAGCTGCAGTGCCACGCCTATATTGAGGTGGGAAATACACTAACAATTTACGCTTTTCCTGAAGTTTTTCGATATTTCGCATCGCAGTGGAATGGAATTTGGGTACAAAGTTTCCAGTGGTCCCCCTCCCACACACACACACAGGGATTAGAGTTGCCAAAAGTCTCTAATAGGCCTATTATTAATGAATTTTCGCCATTGGTGCCAAAATCGACTTATTTTTAATAGTTTTCACTGATTAAGACAAAATTTAGATACTGGAACCTAGTCTAACCAACAGTGGTTACCACTCAGTTTATTTTCTAAAATTAGGGCAGCCTCGTTCCGATTCAATCTTGATTCTTATATTGCCGTTTAGCGAGAAAGCTACTTTATAGGCTAGTAACAATGGCCTACTACAATACTGAACTCAGGAGTACTCTGTCACTATTTCAATACTTATAGTTGGGGCTTTTCCTTCCCGATGCGTCCTCTCCATGAATTCAAATGAGATTCTCCATTTTAAGGACGTTGACCTGACAAGATTAGTGACCCTTTTCTTTCATAGCACTATCTTATAATCATACGTTATTGTAATACCGTTCCATGCATTCTCTATTTTGCACTAGCTTTTCCATCGAAAGATTCTTTATGGCCCTGGAGAGTCCCGATTGCAAACTCGCTTACCTATTTCTGTCGACTTAAGGGCAATGACGCATAGGCCTATATGTCGATATCTATAAGTGTTTTACCCGTTTTTGAAATGATCTAGTTTGAATGATGTCACCGAAGCAGTAAACGGGCACTTCCTATCGATTTCTTAGTAGCACTGTTGTGTATGTGCTACTCTTGTATTAGAACTTTGGCAGAACCTCCCCATCCACCGCCGCGTCACTTCATTACAGCAGGTAGTGACAAATTATGACTACTCACATGTAGCCTGCCTGATCACAATCGGCAAAACCACTGATCTTTTAATATTTCTAACATTCTAGAAATAACTATATAATACAATCGTACTAATCATTAGTGAAGTAGTATAGAATTATTTTAATCCCATGTGATACTCCTCGGTAAACACGATACAAATTGGTCTCCTGTTTTTGAGAGTACAGTAACTACAATGGTACCCGTATCTCTTATCGTTGGATACAGATTATACCTCAAATACATCATCCTCCCTTTTAAGCGGTACCGTTTTCAAGACGAGAGCACAATACATATACCTGTGAATTGTACTAT